TTTTTTTTAAAAAAAATAAATAACTAAAAACGAACTGAAAACGAAAGAAGCTAAGAAATAACTGCTAAGAGCTGAGAGGCGAAGCTGAACGCGAGGCTAACAGCAATCCGATCAGACCGAGAAGGAAAGAAGGTCTTTCCAACGCGGCGGTAAGAAAGGAACTGGTGGGATGTCCGCGCCCACCCCTCTGGGCATGCGCGGTGCAGTTCCTGCGCATGCCCTGGGGGCTGGGTGTGAAAATCCGTCAAAAGAGATTGCTACAGCACCAGTCGATCCAGCACATGAACACTGACTCCCATTGGTGTGAAGCACAGAGACCACGACGAAGATCCTAATTTACAAAGAGACATGGTAAGTCACATTCTGAAAAGTGACAATATTCCATGCTTCTACAGACAAGAAACATAAATCAAGACTATGCATACTTTGAAAATGTGTTGATATTTATAGAACAGCTTTCAAAAAAACAGTTATAGAAGGCTCAGGACTGCCCTTTGCAAATCAGCTATTTCTTATGTGGATCTCCCACTGCACAGTGCCATCTTACTAACATCATGTTCAGAAAGTGTAACATGCAAAGATATTGGATCATGAACAAATCTGAAGTAAGGTACTGCCAACTATTTTGATGACTCCCATCTTTTCCCCTGCCATCCATTCAAACTCAGTGTTGCAATTCCAGAAATTGCATAGTATAGCTTGAAGATAGGAAGACAGGAACACCAGCAGACATTGAATACAGGAGAGATGGTTGGCAATGGTCGTGTCGTAATGAGATCTATTATTGAGATGGGTCAGCCTCTCCTACGTGCTTGACTCAGCGAGCAAGATCCAACATCCTCACCTTCACCAAGTATGCAAGTGCAAAGCACTTTCACTCATACAAAGAAAGGGGGGTAACTGAACAACAGCTCTTTATACCTTATAAGATGCTGCTCCTCAAACTGGAACAACTAAAAGCACCCTCCATAAGCAAAGCATTCCTTTAAACCACCCTGGATTCTTGTTAATGTTTGACCATTACATTGTCTCACTGCAAATTTTATGTGGGGAGGGGGGGGGGTTAACTGATTCCAGTTGTAAACCCTTCTCATGCAGGCACTTGCATCATTCTCAGCAATATAAACTGAAGACAAAACTGTTATAATACATTCAATAATAGACATACAGAATGTCACCTTTCCTTGCCTACTGTGAAGAAAGGCAACTTGTAAAAGTGCATTATGGGCATGTCTACAATGACTACCTGTAAGTAATCCTTGTTCAGGATTAGATTAATGTACAGGGCAAATGGGGGAAAAACCTTAGGCGAAATAAACAAAAACTCCTGATGATGCTGTTCTTGTAACATCTAAAGGTACACTTGTTTGAGCATTTGAATTTGTTTTACTAAATGCATCTACTTCCCTCCCCAACTGTAATTCACTGATTTATGATTGGTAGGATGAATGTAGCCTTTCATGACTTGTAAGTAGTTTTGCTTTATCTCCCCACTACTATCAACAATTTATATAGGACTGACCGCAGTGGACAGAAGAACATTTTGCATTCTGCAATTCTGCCTTTCTGTATATTATCAAAAGGAGAACAAGTACGTTGGGAAAAACCCCATACTGCCAACAACTGAATATCAAACTTACCAAGGAGTGGGACAGGTTGGGTGACTGGAGCTGGCATGCTAGTAGAAGTTGCCGGTGGAGGAGCATTTGGATATCCTTTGGAACTATCTACATTTTCAGCATTTGCTCTAGATCCTGAAACTACTGTTGGAATGGGGTTTCCCACTGAAGAGTCTTTTGTAGTGTCTTCATTCATATTGGCCACAGAAGCTATAACAGAGTGATGTTAACAGTAAAAACTTTATGCAAGTGGCACACACACTTCTGTTATGGTCTAATTTAATAATATAAAAGTACACTTACAGTTTGGGATATTTACTCCTGGAGAAGGAGGAATGGAGACTGGAGGAACTGAAACTGGAGGATTAATAGGTGGTGGTGGTCCAGGAGGCAGAAATCCTATGAAGGTAGAAAAAGTAGCTCTACTACAGTACAGATAGTTGTTTCAATTTATCCTTAAATTAAAGGATCTCCTCTGCAGCACTCTGTGTACAGTTCATATACAAGAAAACTTCCTGGAAGTATTTAATTACCTGGAGGTAAATGCATTGGGTTGAAGCCAGGACGCAAAAACGGTGGAGGTGGGGGTGGAGGAACTCCAGGACCAAATCCAGGAGGTGGAATCCCTAAGGGAGGGGTAAATGTAGGCGGCTGAAGTGTACCAACCATTGGAGGACCGGGCTGATGTGGTGGGACCTAAAATGGAACGGAAATGTTTAGTTAACACATTTCTATAGTTTAGTTACTTAGATGTTAACCTACAGAGTTAAACCAATGTGTGATCTTTGTTCCGTTTTAACAGGGCAGAATCTCTCCAAAATAAGTAAGCAAAAGCCACATCTTATAACATCTTTTCTCTAACTGCGTTGTTTTTTTTGCCAAAAAGCATTTTCATATTTCTTCCCTGCACTCACTTTTGTTTCAAAGGTTGTGTCATATAGGGGTAAGAGAACTGCAGACACAGACAGAAGTTTCTGGTCAGGGTGATCCATGCTCTGATATAGTAACAGGTTAAGTTACTATAATACACTCTAAAAGAGGCTGTCTTTGAACACAGTCTGGAAACTTTGGCTGATCTAGATACAGGGATTATATCAGTCATGTGCGAAATGATCTGCACTGGATGCCTATCTGTTTCTGAGCACAATTAAAAGCACTGGTTCTCACCTTAAAAGCTGTAAATAGCTTGGGGCCAGGATACTTGAAGCACCATCTCCTCTCATACTGTCACCCATTAAGAACCTCCTTTCAAGCCCTGCTTTCTGTACCCCTGCCTGCAGAGGTAAGATAGGTGGGAGCAACCAGGTGGCACCTGACCTGTAGAATGTCCTTCTCCTTGAGGCTTGCTTTGGTACTCACCCCTCTCTCTTTGAGGCTCCAGGCCAAAACATTTTTGCCAGTCTTTTAACAAAGGGGTTTAATGTTTTAAAATGATTTTTAAAGCCTGCTTGAGCCTGTTTTATGAAGATCATTTAAAGCAGCTAAATCATCTTATGCCCTGGCTTGGCTTTTTAGTGGTTAAGAATAACTTCCTGGATTGACCACAGCTAAGAAAGAGATAATTTCACATGCAATTTACCAAACGTTTAGTGAATCATAGAGTTGGAAGGAGCCTCCAGGGTCATCTAGTCCAACCCACTGCACAATGCAGGAAATTCACAAATACTCTGAAGACTGAAAAGGAATGGCAGCTCCTTTCTCAGATGTCAAACCACATTCACAGGGACATCTGAAGATAATAATGTACAATTTGCACAGACTGCAATCTCCCTCCCCCTGCAGCATCCTGAAACATTACCTCTCTTCCTGGAGGAGAGGGGATTCCCAGCAACAGAATTCAAAGGGTCAACTTATGGTGACCCTATGAACTAATGTCCTCCAAAATGTCCTATCATTAAAAGCCTTGCTCAGGTCTTGCAAACTGAGGACCATGGCTTCTTTTATTGAATCAAGCCATTTCATGTTGGTTCTTCCTCTTTTCCTGCTGCCTTCATCTTTTCCTAGCATTATTGTCTTTCCCAGTGACTCTTGTCTTCTCACATTGTGACCAAAGTACGATAGCCTCAGTTGAGTTATTTTAGCTACTAGGGAGAGTTCAGGCTTGATTTGATGTAGAAGCCACTTATTTGTCTTTTTGGCATTCCACAGTATCCGTAAAACTCTCCTCTAACAACACATTTAAAATGAATCAGCATCTTCCATAAAACTCTCCTCCAACACCACATTAAAATGAATCAGCATCTGATCATTGCTGCAGTCATTAACATCTCCTTTTTTTAGAGTTGGAATGTAAATTGAGCATTTCCAGTCTGTGGGCTATTATTTTGTTTTCCATGTTTGTTGGAACAGAACTGGGGAGAGATTTCAGGCTGCTATGGGAAGGGGGGGGGAACTGAGCTCCACAGGTGAACATACTTGCCCCCACAGAAACATCTAGTCTTGATCCAAACTGAACATTTTTAGAGTTCTTCAACATTTCAGAATATGTTTAAATGGAATAAACAAATTAAATGGTTTCCACTGTTCTTTAGAACATTTAAATGCTAAAATGAAAAATAAATTTAGAACTTTTTTTTCATTTTATTTAGGTCTTTCAAATTTTCTTGAGGTATGCAGTCTTCAGCTGCTTTTGTTAATAAGTTTGTGCCATGCATCTGATCTGTTGTCATTAACTCCTGCAACCAATTTTGGATGGTTATCACATTAAGCAGGGGTCATTTCGTAGAAAAAGAGGTGCAGGAGCTCATATGCCACACCCCGTGACATCACTGGAAGTGTGTCAGAAGGCAACACCCACCGCTCAGGCTCCACTGGGCTGTTCTGGATTGGTAGCTATTGGGGGGGAGGGGACACGTGCAGATCTGTCCTCGCAGAGGAGGGAGAGCTTGTACCTGAATAAAACCTGGTCTGTTGAGCGTGGCGCTGCGCGCGGTGGCGGCGGGGGGGGGGGGGGGCTCTGCAGCTCACCTGGCTGCTTCTTGCTCCAACTGAAAGCTGCTGGGAGCAGGGGGCGGGGTTTGTTGCATGTGCCCGCCCCCTGGGCTCTTTACTGCCGAAGCGCCGCTCCTGTGCGCTCCTGCAGGAAATGACCCCTGACATTAAGTCAGACCTTCAAAAATAACACCCCATGACACATTAAGTCAGACCCTTCAAATTACTTTCAGCATTCTTTGGGTCCAATTCTCATAGAACTTGATACAATGAAAGTAATTTTTTTCACATTATTTTTGCTTGGTGTTTCATTTAAATTTGTCTTCCAACACTGGGTTTTAAACTTAGCACAAAAGGCTAAGATGTAATGCGACCTCTCAATGACATTACAAAACATCTCATGGAATTGGACCTTACTTCTGAAGAGCAACATGAACCAAGCTTCATGGGAGAAAGAATAAACACAATCTTACCTGTGGCGGAGGCACTGTTATTGGAGCAGGCATGGGAACAGGCATTTGAACTGGTAAAGTTTTAGCTACAGGTGATGTTTGTTCGTTGTGTGCAGCTTCACCTACTGCTCCTCCATTCTGGGCTACTTGGTTTTCTGATTTTTTAGGAATTCCTTTCCATTCTACAAAACATAAAAATGTCTACTGAAATAATGTAAACATTTCAACTATAAAACAAATATTAAATTATTAATTTAAACCTATCCTACAACTTCCTGATATGGTTACATCTTCGTATATTAAGATCACCTTATTTAACTGCTCAATAGTAGCCATTATCACAGTATCTAATTACGGAGTCCAGGTTCTGTGCAGACAATGACATTAACACAAAGGGGCAAGGCACAAAGGCTGAACAGAGTCCTACATATCTGGGGGAACTCCCAGGTATAAAGAAAAATAACACCTCCATGACACTTCTTTGCCCCCATCCACTTCAATATTGTCTGAACATGAGCACAGGGATGGCCAAAATGCCAGCTTTAGACTTCGGCCAGCAGCACTGACCACAAAGCAGAATCATTTAGACACTGACTCCTCATTGCTCAAAAAGTTCAATAAAGTGAGCAGCAGCCAAAGATGCACTGAGCTAGAGTAGAAAAAAGGCAAGGGTAGTGGTGTGAACGTATAAAGGAAGGGAAGAAGGGAATTAAGGGAATAAAGTGGTGTGTTAATGTGAGTTCGGATCTAATACTGGTGGAGGGGGGAGTAAGCAAAAGGGAGACAGGAAGGGATTTGATGAGTAGTGTACAAAAGGAACAGAAATGTGAAGGCCTGCTTTTTTAAAAAAAAAAGCCTGAGAACTTATTAAAATTTTCCGGTGGAAAAAATGGAGAACTTTGGGGAACACTGAACAAAATCTTATGAATTTTTTTCTTTGAAATGCGTGAAATAGTTTAAGAAAGGTTTGATTTACTCAAAATATACAACACAAAAATCTGAGAACCATTTTTCAGTTGTTTCAATGGAAGCTATGGGGGCAGTGAAAAATCTTTGGAAAAGCTTTTTCACAAGGTTTTATTCACTCTATGTACACCATTCAGTTTTTTCAATGGAAACATTATGAAACGTTGGGGGAGCATTGAAAACAACTCCTTTGAATTTTTCTTCCATTCCACTGAAAACATTGGGAAATTTGGAGGAATGCTGAAACAGAATTTTTTATTTTGGAATGGATGAAATATGCTAAAATAGCATAGGGCGCAATAGTTTGCAACTCTTTCTTTGGGTATATTTGTAATTTTGCTTGCAGAAAACTGTACTTTTAAATTCCACAAATGTATCAATCAATACAATTAGATATGCTACTAAAATGATCAATGTGCTTATGTTAAAGCAGCAAAATACGTTTCATTTTGATAGGAAATAAGTACTGCATATCCCTGACCTGGACAGCCTGGCTAACCCGAGCTCATCAGATCTCGGAAGCTAAGCAGGGTTGATCGTGGCTAATACTACAATGGGAGACCAAGGAATAACAGGGATGTGACGTGAAGGCAGGCAATGGCAAACGACCTCTGAATGTGTCTTCCCTCGAAAACCCAAAAGGGTCGCTATAAGTCAGCTGTGACTCGATGGCACTTTCCACCACTGCATATTTAAAATTTCCCCACAATTTCTGGTTTCTTTCTTGGCTCACTGCCAAACTCTACCTACTCAAGCAACCTCTACCTAAAGTACAACAATAACCTAAAAACCATTAAAACTATGATCAAATATTTACTTGTTTCAGTTAAACGGCAACTCAAACTGAGTGTGCAAAAAGTGACAGAATACCCTTACTATCTATGGATAGTAAAACAGGATCTGAATTAAGTGCTTTACAAAAATGCATTTAGAGAAACGTAGATAGCCCCTTTATTAAAGAAAAAGTTATTTCATGCAGGGCAGATTTGGAGTAGGGAAGCAGTTGGAGGGATGCTTAACCTTTTTCTTACTTGCCACTTTTACCAATCTGCTTTTCCATCAAAGGATTCTAAATCACTGGAACACTACCAGCTGAAAAAGCAATTGAGGAACAGGGGTGGAAATGAAAAATGGCACGCAACAGAACAGTTAAGTGCACATACACAGCTGCTTCCTGATCTAAACACCATTTGCTGCGGCATAACCTTAAAAGGGGGCATCTGAGTTTACAATTCGGGGTAGGATCAGTCCTAAAAGCAAGACTAAAAAGATCATTACAGTTTTATCAAATACAAAGTATTCTACCTATAAATGCTTTCCCCTTGATAAAGATGTTTCATAAAGTCAGCTCTTACCAGGACTAAGTGTTTCATTGTCCAACATTCCTCCTTCACAAGAACTTTCCAGGTCTTCAGGCTTAACTTTACTCCATGGTACATAGGTAACACCTAATTCTACATCCCAGTACTGCTTATAGTCTGGTTTAATTCCTTTATTTAAAGCCCATGCAATCTTTAGGAAGAATGGCAACATAAATATTAATCAGTGAGATTTTTTCCCTCTTACACGGAAACTATTTTCTCTCAGAGCAATATAATTCAAAAGTCAAGACATAAAATATACACCATATGCCAGGGTCCCCCTTTTCTGGTGGGTAGAGCCAGGAATGGCTTTTGCCCAGCAAGGCTTCCGATTGGCTGTGCAGATTTTTTAAAAAAATGTTGCTTTGGCAGCAGCTGCCAGCACAGCACAAAGACCTACACTGCATTAACTGAAGTTAAGCTGTGGCAGTCATCTTATGGGTGGCTCTGCCTCCTGCAACAGCCATTTTGTTGCTGCACCCACCATCCATGTCAGAACTCCAAATGTGCCTGCAGGTTCAAAACAGTTGGGTACCTCTGCCATATGCAATGCAAAATTGTAAAAAAACAACATATGTAGAAAATCTTTTAACAGGCAGACAAAGGGCTACATCAGACAATACAGCTGCCACGTGAAAGTCTCTTAAAGAGTTGCTCTTTTGAGCCACTGTTACCAAATTAGCCTATGTGAATTATTCCCTACCAACAGATTTGTCTTTGTGCCACCACTAAATATTCCTTCAGGCAGCTTGCAGCTACGTTGAGACAAATCTTATGATGAAGAAAACACAGAGATCACAGGAAAAGGTAATTAAACAGACATCAAACAATACAAGATTCCTCATCCATTTAAAACATTATGGGGTTTCATACATATTAACTAGCAGATATGCAAAACAAACTTACATATATTGTATTCTGGAGTATATTTCTACCCCAAGTCAAATTCCAGTGTATTTTGAGGTACAAAAATGTTCCATGATTTAAAAAAAATGAATTTGGGTACTGTGAAACACGAAGTCTTTTATAATAACAGCCAGAACTTGAAAATGCACCTCCAAATCAGGCACAAACATCTAACATTAATAAATGCTGGTGTTGCTTTTACCTGGGGGTGTTTTTGCACTCCAGGTGCTCTTCTGTTCACAGAAAGAACACTCTTAAGTGTTAAGTGGCTGTACTTTGGGGGCAATGTTTACTAAATCTAGAGGTGACAATGTGCTGAGAGGACAAAGTTGTAGAGCCACTTCTCTATGCATTCTACCAAAGAAAGCAAAACTGGAGCGGAAACTTGCTCCAATGTCAGTAGCAGGATTTCAATGCCTGCCAAGTATTTATTTATTTCACTTATGCTCCACTTTTTCCTGCAGTGGGGGCCCAAAACATTTCCCCATTCTCCATTTTACCCTCACAACAACCCTGTGAGGCTCATGGCGTGTGTGACTGGCCCAGTGTCACCCAGAAAGCTTCCATGGCAAAGTGGGCATTTGAACCTGGGTCTCCCAGATCCTAGCCCAACACTCTAACCCATTATATCTCACTGGGTCTCATTAGGTAATACGAATAAGTATTTTAATTGTTTCTCAGACCCATTCTGGATACTGATTACTGCAAGTTTCATATATGTAAAAGTTAATCATTATAATACCTTTATAGGTTTCTGATTGGCTTTAAAGTTTCCACGGCTGAGTTTTTGCAGGGCGCGGTATGCATCTTGTCTCTGCACCATTACAATATAGGCACATCCTCTTGGTGGTATCATCTGTTATGAAGTACAGAAACATTACTACAAAGAAAACCAATGTTATAGGGAAGCTATTCTTTTAAAGTATTAAAAATCCTGTTCTACAATATGCCCAATACCTTAAAAAAGAAGCATAAACCACAGCCCAGCAGCTCTGGCAACTGCACAACGTGCCTATTTTTAGTATTTCTGAAGTATCTTTCTACCTTTACAAACTCACTAGATAATGCCCAAGCCAAATAAAAAAAAACAAGAAAAAGTGCATTCTACATAGAGGTGCAAAACAGAGCCCCGAGGCTGGAGGGGGCAGCTTCCATATACTGCTAGCTCCACCCTCCAGATCATGCACTGTTCCCTTGCAATTTTGGCACTGAGGCGACAAATCACACTCCCCCCCTACACCCAGCAGCCTGCTTCACAGCTGAGCCAGTTAAAAGGACACTACAGCTTGGCTGTGAACAAAACAAAAACCCTGTTAAAGGTTTCAAAGGGAGGGAAGACAGAGAAAAAAACAGTTTTGTTCCATCATTCTGAAGGTGGAGCTAAGCTTTTCCTCCCTTCCATGGATTGAATGCAGGCATAGCTTTCATGTGGAGGCTCCTGTCTACAACCACCCTGCCATTGGATCAAAGAAGTTCTCCTTTGGTCTGGCATAAAGGGAAAAGCCCCACAAGATGTGTTCTAAAAAATGTCATTCCATTTATTAATCGCCTATCCCCACAAATTGTGGGTCTCTAAGCGATATACAAAAGTTCTAAGAACATAAAAGACATAAAAACCAGTCCAATAGCATACTATAATTAAAAGCAGGTGACGAAATTTTGTAGCCTCCTTCCATATCTGGTATGTGAGCACTTCACATGTTCAGGGGGGAATAAGTTCTATATAGAAGAAGGGTCCAGGTAGGTAGGGTGCCAGCCATGATGTTAACCGTTGCTGTCCTCAACCAAATGCCTGGCGGAACATCTCTGCCTTACAGGACCTGTGGAATTGCATAAGATCCCGCAGGGCCCTGATGTTATTTGGCAGAGAACATTAAAATAACACAATGTTGCATTGCTCAAAAAAGAAGGGGCATCCTATTGGCCACAGGGGCAAAATGCCTGTGTGAAAACCAAAGTAATTATATTCTGCATTAATATTAGTATGCAACACTGGCTATCCTTAAGTTTTACATAACTAAAAATTCAAGTGAATTAAAAATCATGTTGATTAAAAATACACTGATATAACTTAAAATAAAGAAATAAGTTGCATTTAGCTTTACCCAGGAATTAAAATGCCAGTAAACTGGTGCTTAACGGCTTGCACCCTACCACTCTGCTAAGCAATGTCTGAAACCTTCCTCCAGCCTAAGGAGCCTTCCTCTGACTGTTAAGTGGTTCTTCCTCTAATGGAAGAAATACTTATGCTGGAGGCAGGCTCCCACAAACCAAGGTAGGATACCTCTCGTGGTTTTCTACCTTCTTGCTTTTCATACTCACATTTATGGATTCAATAGGGCCAAACTCCTCTAGAAGACTACCAACATCCTGCTGTGATGTTCGTTTGTCTAGTTGTCCTACCCAAAGTGTAGTACTGCACACTGAAAAGGAAAAAAAGGTATGTTTGCTTCAGTGTTTGTATTTTAATTAAACTAAGTTGTCCTTTCCTCTTTTGCAAATACCCTTTTCATAATCACAGTTAAAACAGTAATGCAGACTAATTTAAGCAGGCTGATCACAGACTTGAAAACACTTTGCTAGGCCATGTCATGAGAACATAAGAGAAGCCAATGTTGGATCAGGCCAATGGCCCATCCTGTCCAACAATCTGTCACACAGTGGCCAAAAACACCAGGTGCCATCAGGAGGTCCACCAGTGGGGCAGGACACTAGAAGCCCTCCCAGTTGCGCCCCCCCAGCACCAAAAATACAGAGCATCACTTGCTCCAGACCGAGAGTCCCTATCTATACCTTGTGGCTAATAGCCACTGATGGACCTCTGCTCCATATGTTTATCCAATTCCCTCTTGAAGCCATCCATGCTTGTAGCCGCCGCCACCACCTGTGGCAGTGAATTCCATGTGTTAATCACTATTTGGGTGAAGAAGTACCCATTTATATTCACTCTCTGTTTCCTATAATTAGCCAGTTTTTGACCCACAAGAGGGCCTGTTCTTTTATCCCGTGACTATTGAGCTTACTTAGGAGCCTTTGATGAGGAACTTTATCAAAAGCTTTCTGGAAGTCAAGGTAAACAACATCTATCGGGCCCCCCTTGTCCACATGGTTGTTCACCCACTCAAAAAACACTAACAGGTTAATGAGACAAGATCTTCCCTTACAGAACCCATGCTGAGTCTGCCTCAATAGTTTTTGTTCATCAGTGTGCCTACTAATTCTCTCCTTAATAACGGTTTCCACCAACTTATCCAGTATGGACGTCAGATTGACTGCCCTGTCATTTCCTGGATCTTCTCTGGAACCTTTTTTAAAGGTGGGAGTGACATTAGCTACCTTCCAGTTCTCAGGAATGGAGGCAGATTTTATATGAAATAATACATATTTTTGTCAGGAGATCCACAAGTTCACATTTGAGTTCTTTCAGAACTCTCAGATGTATGCCACCCAACCTGGTGATTTATCAGTTTTTAAGTTGTCTATCAGTCATAGAAACTCTTCTCTCGTCACCTCAATCTGACTCAGGTCTTTCAACACCCCTCCCGAAATCACCAGTTCCGGAGTGGGCAAGCACTTCTCATCTTCCACAGTGAAGACAGAGGCAAAAAATGTATTCAGCTTCTCAGCCATTTCCCTATCCTCCTTCAGCCTGGTTTTGTCTTTTGTACAGCTCCCTCTTGTTCCAAAAAGCATCCCAGTGCCTAACAAACTTGAATGTGTCCTATTTAGGTAAAAAAGCAGCGCTCTCCTAACATCTAGAGTGTGGAGGAGTCGCTGTTGTCCATCTTCTGGGTTAGGGAAGAAATTAGGCAATAAGATCTCCGAGGCTAGGTGAAATTCGGAGACCACATTAGGCAGAAAAGATATGTCAGGCACCAGTTTCACACCATCCGGTAGGAAAACAAGGAAAGATGGGTCATGATGCAGGGCCACGAGTTCGCCTACCCTCCTGGCCAAGGTGATGGCGATGAGAAAGGCAGTTTTCCATGCTGCATGCTTTAGCTCACAAGTTGCCATGGGCTCAAAGGGCCGCCCCATGAGATGGTGGAGCACCAGCGGTAAATCCCACAAGGGTACCAGTGAACGGATCGGTGGATACAAGTGGAGGAGACCCTTCATAAATCTCTTTGAGACCAGGTGAGAAAAAACGGAAAAGCCGTTGAAGCCCGGATGGTAGGCCGACATAGCTCACAAATACACCCTGAGTGAGGAGTGAGAGAGCCCCTTTTCTGCCAGCGAGAGCAGAAAGTCTAAGACTTGGTCAATCCTGATAGAAGCCGGGGGGACGTCAGAGGGCTGTATGGAGGCCAAGAAGCAAACCCACTTCCCACTGTAGGAACGTTGCGTAGAATCTTTCCTGACATTGAGAAGCACAGTAGTGATTCTGTCTGAGAATGTTAAGTGACCGCGAGATAAGCTGTTAGCTTGAGCTTGTATACCTTGTGGAATAGCAGAGCTCCTCCCTCCACCAGGAGCAGATCTGGCACCTGTGGGAGGGGATGGCGCGCCTTGGATAGCGAGAGGAGATTGGCGAACCAAGGTTGCCTCGGCCACCAGGGGGCAATCAGGATGCACCTTGTATGGACCCTCATGAGTTTTTGGACCATCTTTAGCAGCAGAGGCGGGAACATATATAGGAAGTTGTTGTTCCATGGATACAGGAGTCCATCTCCCAAAGCCTTGGGATCCTGAGCTGCCCTGCAGCAAAACAGGTTGCACTTCGAGTTGTACCTGGTGGCGAAGACATTGATGTGAGGCGTACCCCACTTTTGAAACACGGGATGTAGGTAGGTCCAGTTCAGCTCCCAGTCATAACACTGAGAGAGACCCCTGCTTAGCAGGTCTGCATGCACACTGGCCTTGCCAGCGATGTGTGAGGCAATGGGAAAGATGGCAGAGGTATGCACCAGGCCCAAAGGTCTAGAGCCAGGAGGCAGAGCCTGTGGGAGACTGTTCCACCCTGCCTGTTGACATAACCGAGGGCCGTCGTATTGTTGGTTAAGACAGTCACACATTGTCCTGTGACAAGAGGCTGGAAACATTGAAAGGCGAGTTTGATTGCCAAAAGTTCCAGAAAGTTTATGTGTTTCCTTGAGGTTACAGCATCCCACCTGTGACCTACAGAGAGGCCATTGAGGTGGGCTCCCCAGCCCCACCGCGAGGCATCGGTTGTGAGGGTGAGAGTAGGAATGAGAGGTCGGAAAGGGATCCCCTCCATCAGGTTGTCCACCATAGAAGGGAGTCGCGTGCCTCTTGTGGTGGGGAAAGACGAACTGATTGGAACATCTGAAGGGGATTGAAGTGCCAAATGAACCAAAGCTGGAGTGGTCGCATTCGCAGCTTTGCAAAGCGAAGGACTGCAGTTGTAACCGCATTAGGCCCAGAAGGCATTGAATCTGGAAGGCAGAGGAGGTATCTCGTAGTTGAACCTGTTCTGCCAGAACGGTCAGGGTTAGTGCCCTGTCCTGGGGCAGGAAAGTTGTGCCCTCTTTGGAGTCGAGTATCGCCCCTATGAACTGCACCCTTTGAGAAGGGGCTAGATATGACTTTTTGTGGTTGACTCTGAGGCTGAGACAGTGAAGGAGATTGAGGGCTTGGGATATATGACGAATGAGAAGGTCCCTGGAAGGGGCAACCAGAAGCCAGTTGTCGAGATACGGGAACACCGTCAGGCCGCAGAGGCAGAGATGTGCCACAACGACCACCATCATTTTGGTAAAGACCCGCGGGGCCATGCTGAGGCCAAACGGTAGACTCCTGTATTGGTAGTGGCTGCCTCCTATTGCGAATCGGAGGTATTTGTGATGGGCAGGGTGGATAGTGAAATGGAAATAGGCATCATTGAGGTCGAGGGTGGCCATCCAGCATCCCTGGGACAGAAGAGGCAGAATGACTGGTAGTAATGTCACTTTGAATTTTTGGTACTGTATATAGGCGTTGAGGTCACGAAAGTCTAAGATCGACCTCTGCCCCTCATTTCTTTTGGGAATCACAAAGTACCGGGAATAAAAACGAGTCCCTGGTGATCTAGAGGCACGGGTTCTATAGCACCCTTCGGCAGAAGTGCAGCGACGTCTTCGAGGAGAAATGATGATGGGGGAGTGGTGACAACTACAGGAAGAGGTGGGAGTTCCATGGATTCGATGGAATAGCCCTTGGCTAAGATGGAAAGGACCCATTGGTCCGACGTAATGGCGGCCTAGGACTGCAAATAGGGATGGAGGTGGGTAGGGTCAGAAGAGGTAGACAGGCGGAAGTCAAAGGTCCTGCTTGCCGGGTTTGGGTTGTTTCGGTCTGACAAGTTGCTGTCCAGAGCCATATCTTTGTCTGGCCTGGTACTGCTGCCTGTTTGCAGATGGGGATCGACGTGGCCTGTAGCCCTCATCCAGCGACGGCTTAGTGTATTGATGTCTGGAGCTGTAACGAGACCAAGAGCAAGGACGAAAGGGCTTAGAGGGGGCAGAGATCCCCAGCGACCTCGAGGCCTTAAAGCTCTTATCCATGTCCTGGAGCATCGAATCAGTGGACGCATGAAAGAGACCTTGGCCATTGAAAGCTAAGTCCCCTATGTACGCCCTGGTGTCAGCAGGGAGTGCGGTGGTCCTCAGCCAGGAATGTTTTTTGCCAGGCATGCCTACGGAGGGCAACTGTGGACAACATCGTCTTAGAGAATGTGTCTAAAGTATGTTTGGATTAATTGATTATTTGTTTAGAGAGCAGCAAGACTTCCTTTTGCAGCTTCCTGGCCTCCTGACGTTTGTCCTCAGGCACTGAGGTCAAAAGGTTGGCAAAGCGCTCCCAGAGTGAGTACTGGTAACAGCCCATGCACGCAACATAATTAGATGTCTTAATGCCAAGGGCTCCTGCCGAGTAAAAACGACGACCAGTGGAATCTAACTTCTTGCTCTCCTTATCGGAAGGGGTAGCAAGGGTACGTTTACTCTTAGAGGCAGACGACACGACCATGGAGTTGTGCTTGGGGTGGATATGGAGGAATTCAGCCTCCGTCTCTTGGACCCGATACATATGATCGATATGTCTGGACAACACTGGAGCAGAGGAAGGCTTGTCCGACGGGGACTTAGCCGCCTGTAAGAGGACGGTCGACATCGGGAGAGCGATCGACGTGGAGGTATCGATCTGCATGACATCAAAGACAGCGTCCCGACACCGAGGGTTGGGGTTGGACGATCGACAGACCCAGGGAATGTGCCATCCTCTTGACCAATCTCCGTATGAAGAAAGATCCTCTGAAGGAGAGATCGGCAGATTGTCCGACACCGTAGGTCTTGGTGAAGGATCATCAAGCGATTCGGGGCATTCTGAATTGTCGGTGCCGGTATCGGAGACAAAGGATCTGGAAAGCGATACCAGTGCCGCAGGGGTATCCAGTATCAGAGCGACCTTTGGTGGTAAAGCATGGGTGGAACGGAGAGGAGAAGGTGGGTGACAAGGTTCCTCTGGGGCTTTGGATTGTGACGCAGAATGCTTAGATTTACGGTGGGGAGAGCGTGAACGACGTGACCCATGGTCCCAGTTCAACTGTGGCCTAGGCGTCAGCCATGGCATCGATGCCGACATCGGATACGATGTGAATCAACAAGGCATGTGCCCCCTACGGTCCCACGATACAGATGGGTCAAAGTAGGTCGGGGAGTGTGGTCTCAATTCCCGTCTAGGCGAGTACGAGAGCATGGGCCTGGAATGATGGTACTCTGGGCACTCCTCAGATTGATATCGATACTCCTCGCATCTGAGCGATCGTTGATTTCCCAGGAAATCACCGACTGGGAACGAACTCTATGAGACCGACGTGGGACCATTCCCTCGACTTCAAACGGCGAGGCTGAAATTGGTCCAGAGTCGACAGAAGCCTCTGATACCGGGGGGTTCAGGTGCCGGATGGGTGAGTCCAGTAACTCAATCGTAGGCAGCTCCGGTATCGGAGTATCAATGACGTCGGGTTGCACCCACTGAAGAGGGGGTAATGCAGAGCTCGTTTGCACTTTCTCACTGCTCAGATTCTGAGAATTACGCACAGTGCCAGTGAGAGAAGACTTAGCTTTCTCGTGCTTCTCTTTTTTCTTCTTTCTGGCCGGTGTAGAGGCGGATGAGGCCTCGTTCGATGCCAAGCGCTTAGAAGACTGTCCCCCATCCGATGCTGACTTTGCACAGTGTGGGGGATTCGGTGTCGAGGTACCTCCCAATATCGACATGGTTGTCGTTGGTTGGGAGATCGAAGGAGTCTCGGCCGACATATCTCCCACAGGCATGGGGGTCAATGCCGATTCCCAAAGCACTACTCGAAGCCTCGTGGCTCTGTTCTTGGGAGTCTGGTTCGAGAACTTCGCACAATGGCGGCAAGCGTCTGGGTGATGAGTCTCCTCGAGGCAAATAATGCAGAGTATGTGGCTGTCACGAGGGGCAAGTTTGCTGCCACAGCCAACACACAGTTTGAAACAGCCCCCTCTTTTGGCCATAAAAGAGTAGAATGGTCCAAAAGAAAAAAGTCCCTTGATAAGGCGAAATAAATTTTACCTCGGGGGGGGGGGGGGGGGGCGGGAAGCAGCCTGAGGCAGCAGCCACCCTCACCGAAAAGTCCTTTTTATATATATCTATTTCTAAAGAACAAAATAACATAAATGCTGTAAGCGAAAAAAGTACAATGTGAACAATCCCTCGTGAGAGGAAAAAACGCTTCTTCACCGACCGGCAGAAAATGAGCTGTTAACAGCGTGGCGGTCAGAGGAGAACTGGCGGGATGTCCGCGCCCCTCCTCCTTGGGAATGCACAGTGGGGTTCCTGCGCATGCCTCGGAGAGAGGCACGAAAATCCCGTTGTGAGCTTTGCATACCACCGATTTGGATCAGAGCAGGCGCATAATCCCATGGGTGTGATGCACAGAGACCACGAAGAAGATCCAGGAGCTCCTTACACAGGGCACAAATCCAAGACTTCTGTCCAGTGGGCAGATAGTCATACAGAATAAACTGAAGATGACTGGCAAACTGAATAAGGAACTAACAATCATTCATATAAAGCATACCTCAGTTGCTTGTACAATGGATAACATTTACATCAATGTGACAGAACAAAGCAGACCACATCTGGTGGGTTTTAAAATTTCTTGTGGAAAAAAAGGAAATTCATTAAATTATTTTATTTATGTTTAGGAACAAAGTGGCTTGTTCACTGGTGTTCTATCCGGAAATAAACTAAGGTTGATCGTTGTAACTTGTTTTACAGTCTCATTCCAGCCTGAGAAGTGTTTTAATACCTTCACTTTAAGGTGCTATACGTTTTAGACTATTTCTATGCTCTTATTGGGTATTTAACACTGGGCCTTTAGTAGTTAATTGCTAAAACTTTTGTTCTTATGTCTTGCTTTGTAAGCTGCCTTGAACAGGTAACATAAATAAGGTTGCATAAAAATTCTCCAAATACTGCAACAGGTAATCTTTGAAGAATATGACTTTTCAATACTTTTTCTGAAAGCACACGTAAACTGTTGAAACATTTTAATAATATGAAGAACTATGCAGTAGGAACAGTACGTGCTGTATAACAGTGTCAGTCCCTTACAATTTAAAAATAACAAGGAAGAAAACCCAATATTTATTGCTGTATAAATTAAGGCTGACCCACATAACCCTGAAAAGTACACTAAAATGTGAGCTGATGAAACTTGGGCAAATATTAGCATAGCTTAAAAACTCATTTGATTGTTTTACTGCTCAAAGATTCACAGTTTGTATTGTCTTAAGAGCCAACCAAAATTTGTAGTCACCAAGAATATACCCTCCCCCACAAGAGGAGAAGCTTGAGGTCTTTTCTATGATGTCACATTAAACACCTCAGAAATACACATAAAGTCAAGAAGAATCTCTCTCCTTCCTTCCCAGCTCCTCCCAAATGGGTGAAGCTTGTTCAAGGACGGTTTGGAGCTGTAACCTGACTCAGCCAAGCCCAACCCTCCACCAAAGCTCTGAGTCGGAGAAGGAGAACTCTAACCCTGAACAGAGCTTTGGAGGAACTCTGGGCACTTTCAAAGTGCAAGAGAGCATAAACAAGTTTCAGCGTTCCTCCCAAGCTGCACCTTCACAGTACTCAGCAAACCTGCAAAGAACATCACAACTGCGGGGATGATCCTCTAGCTTCTTCCCCAGCTCTAAGCTCAGGAGTAAATGAGTCATGCTTGCCTGTCAGAAGTCCAATTCTAATTTTTGTAAATGTACATATCAACACTGAGCCATTAGTCTTAGAAATTCTCAGAAAATTCAGTGGTCCAATTAAATGGCATTGAAAAACTGAGTTTGGACACGAAACAATTTCACAACCATATCCTTGAATTCTATTTTAGCACGCTATCAGAATTTTGTGTTACAGACTTCAGCTGCAGGT